CTCCTGGATGACTCAGGATTCAGTTTCTCCACAGGACAGGAGCAGACTGACTCTGTGTCTGCTCCAGCCCGGAGGACCAGGCAGGGGCAGAAGCCAAAACACTCTTATGAAATTTTTTTAAAACTTAATATCTCACCACTGATATCACAATGTTTAAGAGCTTCCTTAAAGTCCTCTTCAGTTAAATTAATATTCAAATGTTTCAAGGCACGCTCCAAGTCAGATATAGCGATCTTGCCGTCTTCAACCTTTGACAAGATGTCAGCAGCTTCTATGATCTCTAAAAGAATAAATATGTGCAATATTCTGTTATAAAATACATAGAGGGGGCCAGGCAGTGGTGGCGCACACCTTTAATCCCAGCACTTGGGAGGCAGAGGCAGGCGGATTTCTGAGTTCGAGGCCAGCCTGGTCTACAGAGTGAGTTCCAGGACAGCCAGAGCTACACAGAGAAACCCTGTCTCGAAAAACCAAAAAAAAAAAAAAAACATAAAGGGATTGGTGTAGTGGTGTACATCATTAATGTCAGCACTAAGAAGGCAGAGGCAGGTGGATCTCCATGAGTTTGAGGCCAGCCTGGGCTAGAAAGAGAGTCCCAGGAAAGCCAGAAACACGAATAAAGAACCTGTCAAAAAAAATACATGTGAATCAATTTGTTCAGAGCCTACTTTGGGCAAACTCATGTGTCAAATATTTACCTGAACCAAAACTCCAGCAGAAGTAAAATATTTTCTATTTGTAATGATGATCTCTTTATTTAAAACAATGTTTTTTTCAGTTCACGGCAAACGGATGAAAACCGATATTCTAGTTTGCTTTCTACTGCTGTGATAAACACTAGGCAAAGAACTTAGGGAGGGAAGGGTTTACTTCCCCCTATAGTTTAAAATCATTTATTAAGAAGAGTCAGGGCAGGGACCTGAACTCCCTTTCATAGAACTGTATCGTAAGTTTATCAGTCATTAATGTTCTCTCTTAACTAAGTTGGTTCTTTTTGTCGCCAACCTCTATAGCCAAATTAACAGTCCTAATGATCTGCAGAATTTAAAATATAAGATATATTTTAAAGCATCAGTGTTTTTTATCTATACCATTTCTCTTTTAACCTTGAAATGAAGTTCTGTGCATTTCACACTCTGAAATTACACAAAGTAGTTCAGGTCTTCATGGAAGTCACTTGGAAAAAACACCATCTGTATCCTTTCCACAAACAGTCATTCTACAGCTACTGAGAAACAATGCTGAAAACCAATCTCTCTCATCAAAGAATCTCCTGTAAACTCCTTAACAAGAAAGACAGACTCTGTCATCTCTGTAAACAAAATTAAAAATCTATCACATAATTGGTGCTATAAAAAAAAGTACACACAAGATCAATCTCAGATTAACCCTCTCACTTCATTAATGACTGATAAGCCTGGAATAAAGCTCTAGGAAAAGGAACGTGACATCTGAGCCAAGCTGCGGGGATGGGGGAAGGTCAGCTGATCCAACAGGAAACCCATACCAAGTAAATACTGTATGCAAAAACATGGAACCAAAAGCAAACTGAAGTAATTTAAATTATGATGAGTACTCTGGCTACAGAACAAATACAAATGCAAGTCTGATAAACAATGAGGCTAAAGAAAGAAAGCACATCATTCATTCAATATAACATTTAAAATTATGAGTTGTCACGAAAGATCCAAAGCAATATCTGGTGTACTAAATTTAACTTGCTTATAAACATCAGTTATTCTTAACAATAAGACAAGAACCAAGATTTCACTGCATTTGAGAGCTACAATTGCTCCTTGGCCAATGGCAATTCTAGGCAAAGAAGAGGCAGTAACATTAATCTAATAGTGCAAACCATTTATTTGGAACAAGTACTCTGAAGCAGAAATGAACTGGTAAGGGCACATGACAAAGGAGGCTGATTTAAGCTATGGGAAGGGAAGGGGGCATCTCCAAGGACGCAAGGTCTCCAGTAAACAAGGTGAGTAAAACGGGTCAGAGAAGACTATCCCAAGGAACAAAATAGATAAATGTTTAGGAGTAAGGAGGAAGTGTGGAATGTGTGGTCGGATAGGTGAACCAATTCAGCTAAAGTAGTACAGACTGAAAGATAAGCGGTACACAGTAACACTACAGAATTACGGCATGCACACTGCGGAAAACGGTCTACAAGTTTCTCAGAAAACTGAAGACATAACAGCTCTGTGACCCTGCCATACCTCTCCTACACGGATGCTCAAAGACCTCTAAGCCCTACCACAGAGATACTGGCTCCTTCTGTTTGTTGCTACCGTATTCAAAACAGCTAAGAAATGGAGCCAACCTCGGTGTCCATGGATAAGGAATATGTGGTGTTTATATATTATGGAATTCTATTTGGCTTAAAAAAAATGGACTCAGGCTGAAGAGATGACCCAGTGGTTAAGAGCATGGACTGCTCTTCCAGAGGTCCTGAGTTCAATTCCCAACAACCACATGGTGACTCACATCCATCTGTAATGGGATCCAATGCCCTCTTCTGTGTGTCTGAAGAGAGTATACTCATATACATAAAAGAAATAAATAAACCTAAAAAAAGGAAGGAAGGAAGGAAGGAAGGAAGGAAGGAAGGAAGGAAGGAAGAAAAAGAGAGAGAGAGAAAGGGAGGGAGGGAGGGAAGGAGGGAGGGAGGGAGGGAGGGAAGGAGGGAGGGAGAAAGGAAAGAAGAAAAGAAGGAAGGAAGGAAGGAAGGAAGGAAGGAAGGAAGGAAGGAAGGAAGGAAGCAAGGAAGCAAGGAAGAAAAATAGACTCATGACATTTTTAGGAAAATGGTTGGAACAGGAAATGCAAAGCAAAGAAACACAGACCCAGAGAAAGACAAATACCACATTTTCTCACACAATCAGAATCGAGATTTAGGAGACATACATTAGGAAGACATCAGCATTTGACAACAACCCAAAAAAATCTCTTGCTGTATGAAACATATAAATACATACATACATACACACACATCAAACTTATTTATATAAATAAAGTTCATACTCACCGCTTACTGTTGGTAATTTCAGACTTGAAGACAAGATTTCTTTTTTTAAACCTGAAAATGCACAGTGAAACAGTGAAATGAAGAGCGTTTGCCCTTACCTGCTTAGACAGGAAACAAGGGATAATGTAAGCTCTTCTCCTGATAGCATTGGACAAGGATGGCTACTCCCTTCTCAGACAATCGTGTTCCCAGTCTGTGCTCTCATTTCCCAGCATCCTCTGTGCTTCTTAAACATGGCAGTTCCTGACATAAAAGTTCCCTGTGCTTTCCTAGCAGCTACTCAATAAAGTATTTATTACTCTGAAATTAGTCTCTCTCACCCCCTCCTTCCCTTCCTCCCTTTCTCACCGATATGGTTTGTATATGCTCAGCCCAGGGAGTGGCACTATTAGAAGGTGTGGTCCTGTTGGAGTAGGTGTGGCCTTGGTAGAGTAGGTGTGTCACTGTGGGTGTGGGCTTTAAGACCCTCATCCTAGCTGTCTGGAAGTCAGTATTCTTCTAGCAGCCTTCAGATGAAGATCTAGAACTCTCAGCTCCTCCCACACCATGCCTGGATGCTGCCATGTTCCTGCCTCGATGATAATGAACTGAACCTCTGAACCTGTAAGCCAGCCACAATTAAATGTTGTCCTTGAGGCTGGAGAAATGGCTCAGTGGTTAAGAGCACTGGCTGCTCTTCCAGAGGTCCTGAGTTCAATTCCCAGCAACCACATCATGGCTCACAACCATCTGTAATGGGATCCAATGTCCTCTTCTGGTGTGTCTGAGGAGAGCAACAGTGTACTCATAAAATAAATAAATCTTTAAAAATAAAAAATAAAAAAATGAATAAAAAATGTTGTCCTTATAAGAGTAGCCTTGATCATGGTGTCTGTTCACAGCAGTAAAACCCTAAGACACCCTCTCCTTTTCTCTTCCTCTCTTGTCTACCTAGCTGCTAAGCCTGGAGCTTTTCTTATGTGCCATTTGCAGTTAGTTCATTTATCCCACAACTTTCCTACAGATATGTAAACTGAGGATAGATGATAGAAAAGAAGTCATTCTGTTTTTTAAATTTTTACTAGTTTATATGGATGGATGTTTGTGTATATCTGTGACCACATGTGTATCTGTGGACAGAAGAGCACATCAGATCTCCCAGAACTGGAATTATGGACATTTGTAAGCTGCCATGTGGGTGCTGGGAATTCAACCTGGGTCCCTAAGAAGAACATCCAGTGCCCTAACTATGGAGCCAACTCCCCAACCACACTCTACTTGTGTAATTAGGTCTGACTGCTGTTAAAAAAAGCATTATAGACTAACTCTCAATTAGCAGGGTATTACTTGAAACAAAAGGCAGTTAGAACACAAAGAAATTAAATTTTTTGTCTGGGTATGAAGAGCTAACCTTACTTTAAAAAAAAAATATTGCCAAAATGTAGGGTTGGACAATTTTGTAGATAAGTCTAAGATTTCTGGACTTCAACACTATTAACTAGTGCTAGCTGTTAACTAGTGCTAGCTGTTAACTAGTGCTAGCTGTTAACTAGCTGTCTATTTGATTGCAGTGATGTTGCCAGATGCACTGCAGGATAGGGATGCTTAGCCCACAACTCTTGCCTCTCCAGATGTAGTCCTTCCTCATGAGTCCTAGCAATAAAACTGTTATGGACTGTCAAACATACCCTCAGAAAACTGTGGCGGGTGAGGCACAAGCCTGTGACAGTGAGGCCTCTCTATCCACTGAGCAACTTCACTGCCCATCCCTTGGGGTAATTTCAACTATACTTTTTTTTTTTGCTAAAATTCCATTCAAAGACAGTAAATATCTTTTAAAATATAATTGTCATATAGATGATCAGGTAAACAATAACGTAATTGTTGACAAAAACAGGCATACTTATTCAGCAATACTTTACCTAATGGCCTTTTACAAAAACAGAAGTGAGAAAGAGCAGGAGAGAAGGAGGGGAGAGAGAGAAGTGGAGGAGAGAAGAGGGAAATGACCACAGTACTCCTTAATACTGGAACGTGAACATCATCTAAAATACATATAGAAATGTATTAATGTGCAATGAAATTTACATAGAAGGAAGCATGAGTTTGAAGCCACACAACAACATACAGAAATAACCTAAGATCCAGTTTGCGGTCGGGCTCATGGGCTCACATAGGCATTTAATTCCATAACAAAATCTATTTGCGGTCTGGAAGATGTCTCAGTGGTTAAAAGCACTGGATGCAGAGAACCCAAGTTCAATTCCCAGAAGATACCAAGTGTCTCTTAACCATCTGTAACAGCACTTCAGGAGATCAATACCCTCTTGGGGTCTCTTCAGGCACCAGCCATGCACATGATGTACACACATACATGCATACAAAACATTCATATGTGTAAAATAAATATATCCTTTAGAAATTTTAATTTTTGTCAATATGTAATCCAAAATCTAATCTATACTAGTGTTCCAATGTGTTCATGCTATTATTTAGAAATTATTAAGAATTAATTGGCAGCTGGTAAAATAGCTTGAAATTCTCGAATAAGCATTTAGAAATGGGGCTGAAGAGATGGCTCAGACGCTCTTACAGAGAGGATCTCAGGTTTATTCTCCTGGGGCAGCTCACAGTTTCCTATGGCTCCAGATAGAAGCAGATCCAAAGCCTCTGGTCTCCTCCAGCACCTGCACTTATGTCCACATACTCATACACAGAGACAGGCACATATACATAATTAACAATAATCTTTAGGGAAAATTAGAAAAGCAGTTTAAATTAACCATTAGAACCAAAAGCCCATAGATAAGTTCTCTTAATTTTAAAGATGTAAACTAAATGTTAATTACAAGCTGCTGGCTGTCAGCTTAATCAACTCACCCTCTAGATCTTCTAGCCCCTCCAGATACCGCTCTTTATCAGGCCAATAACCTCCCTTGATGGAGTCCAGCATCTCAATGGCCTCTTTCAATGCTACAAATACAGAAAATGTGCCAATGGCATACACAAACAAGATACACATAGCATACGTTGATATATCATTCAGTTTGTGGATCTGAGTTTTTCGGGCACAGGAAGATGATCAATAACCTCTTTTAGATCTGCATTTCCCAGGATGGCTCTCACTAACCACACGAGGCCACATAAGCACAGCAATCCCTCTCCACTCTAGTCTTCATGACACCCATCTTCTATCTACATCTTTGATCACAATAGCTAAACCCGCCTCCCATTTTTATTTTGTCTAGTTTTAGTTCAGAGTCTCACTGTGTAGCTCAGAATGGGCATACACCTACAACCCTCATTTATGTGTTAAACTATCTTGTAAAGCCTAGGATTTTGATGGAGTATTTCAATATATATCTCAAAGTATATGGCTTTTTCAATTTAAAAGTTCCCTTCATCCCCCCAAGCATCCTCTGAACCCAAGATCATCCCTTTCTGCCTTCCTTCCTGTCTATCCCTTTTTCCAGCCAGCTAACTTCACCTATCATGAAGACCATTCTAATAGCCTCATGCTTAGGAAACATTTGGACTAGGAAGCCTACAGCCGATAATCTCCTGTAAGAGAGAGAGAGAGAGAGAGAGAGAGAGAGAGAGAGAGAGAGAGAGAGAGAGAAAATTTAAATCATATGTAAAAGTAACTATGTTTAATAGATCATTTTTTTCCTCCACTCTTTACCCGGTTCCTGCAAGTAATTTGATTTTGATTTTTAAACCAATATCTACAAGTTTTTAAAACTTGGCTTTTAACGGACTGAGGAACTGTTAAATCCTCTACTAAAGATCTCTTTCTCTTAACTCCAATAAACTAAAGTAGAAGGAACAAGCATGGAGCAGCAGTGCAACCACAACCCTGAGAAGTTTATGGATTACCTCCCAAGTAACCATCAGATCAAGGGGGAATCAAGGCACAGCTGGAAATATCTAGAAAACAACAGGGGCGGGGCTAGGGGGGATGGGGCTCAAGCAGTAAAGCTGTGCGAAGCACCAGGAGCCGGTCAGCCCTGAGGACTCCCCCTGGATGACTCTCTCAAATCTTAATCAGTTCCTAAGACCCCACCTCTACGCACCACTCTCAGGGGAGTTCTCTTTCTTCGCACACATTTGGATTAAGTTCCAGTCTGAGTTTTAGAGGGGACGAACCACGACAAACCCTGGAAACTAAGCTAAGGGCAAAGCTTGACCAAATGACCCATCCTGGGGAGCCTGGTAACAATGTCACCGTAAAACTCTTACCAGTGAAGTTAGAAAACTTCGAAGTGTCTCTCAAAGCTTCCATACACTCTTTAACAGTCACCATGTTGTCTTCTAGAATGAAAAAGAGAGAAAGAGAGCAGTGAAAAATTAGAATTCCTAGACATGATCATCTTCAAAAACTAATAGCAAACTAAACATTTTTAAATTACATTTTAAAACGCTTTTTTTTTACAAAGTACATTTGAATCTGTTGCCAACCATTATTTCTTGCCAGAACCTGTACAAAGCTGCAGACACAGTTACAACTTAGCCTGAAATGGAATGAAAATACAAAGAGAGGCCTAAAACTTCACTTGGCTCAAAGTGGCAACATAGTATTTCTACTCAGTTTGAACTCTAAAGCCTTTCTTCACAGAGAAGAACAAAGCATCTGTGAGCAGAAAGATTTTAACAAGGCTGCTCCGCACAAAATTCAGGCTTGTTTCTTGGAAGAATTCTTTTAAAAGCAAAAGAATACATCTTTAAGGAAAAGCTCCTGTTCAAAGATAATGTTTTCAGAAACATAACCAAACATCTCTAGACTTGAAAACCCTTGTTATAGATCCTTCTACAAAGAAGAAGAAAAAGAAGAGGAGGAGAAGGAAGGAGAGGAGAAGAGGGAAGGAGGAGGAAGAGGAAGAAGACAAAATAATGAAACAAACCAACAAACTGTCTAAACCCTGAGAACGGTCCAAATGCTCACCAGAAGCAATGTCTGACTGAAGGATTTCATCCACTTCATCTTTAAATGATGTAATCCCAAGACTCTTTAGGAAATCTTCCAAGTTCTTCCCAGGTATCTTCTCATCTTCAAGCGAATCAAGAGCCAAAGCTATTTTCTGCAACTCTAGAAATAGATATAAAAATGATAGTTGACAATTGAACTCCTCTCTAGTTTCAAAAACAAACTTTTGTTTGTGTGGTCTGTGGTTAATTATTAAGTTCTGAGTTCAGGGTTTCAAAGACAGCTAAGTAGGTGATGGCATTTGCTACATAAGCCTGAAGAAAACCACAGTTAAATCCCTGGACCCCCAGTGAAAGGAGAGAACCAATGCCTGAAAGTTGTCCTCTGACCTCCACACACACATTGTAGTATGTATGTGTCAATACACCTTCATCATACACACCATCGTCATCATCATCATGATAATAATTTTTAAAGCTTTGTATGTGGATACTGAAGAAAAGCATAGAAACTTACACTTTTTCTGAGCACCTCTATGCTCTCCCATAAATAGTAAGAAAGTAATATTTATAGCATATAATAGATATATAGTAAGCTGGTAATGGCGGAAACATTCGGGAAGCCATGTTCCCATATGCCACCAAACTTCCAAATAGGCTTTCCCAAAGACAGCAGCTTTGGTACTGCTGTACTGACTCTTTCTTGCCCTTTATAACTCTTCCTACAAGTTCCAGCCTTATTCTGTACTGGGTGGCAATGCTATCTTCCTAATCACCATAGCCGTCTCTCAGATTCAGGTACCCGGCTAACTAACAGCAGCTTTCCATGACTTAGTTTACCCTTTTCCCCATCTTATAAAGTGTTATCAGTCCTGAACAACAGTCTTTCTGAGCACTGCCTTCTAATTTCAAAATTATATATAAAATTATGACTATTTACTCAATCACAACATGCTCCCAATACCATGTTAAAAGCTGCACAAGGGTTAATGCATTTGATCCTAAATGCTCTATGAATATGATGTTATTAGTGTCTTCATTCTGAAGATGAAATGAAAGATAGGTTAGATAGCATAGAAGAAAAACAAATGACAGAAAGATGAGGAGTGTCTAATAAAGGAAGCAGTAGATCCATGAGAGATTCTATAAAACAAAGTAATCCATAGAATAGTTCTAAGTCTGGGGCTTAAAATGACATAGAGAAAATTAATACCTAGAAAAGTTTAAAAATCACTAACAGAGAGGCAGGAGAGCTGGCTCATCAGTGAAAAGCACTGGCTGCTCTTATAAAGGACTGAAGTTCAGTTCCCAGCACCCCATAGTGGTTCACAACCGTCTATAACTCTACTTCCACAGGATCCAACACCCTTTTCAGACTGCCAAGAGTGACAGACATATACATGATGTACAAGCATAAAACATAAATTTTATAAAAGTAATTCGAAGATTTTCCACAGAGTCCATGAAGTGAAGATGGAATTTAAAAGATCTTTCAATAGACTTTTTCCTGATAGAAGCTGCCAGCTTCTGATCAAGCTAAGCTTTGATTGCCTTCCATCAGAAAAGTGCAGATATGTTAACTAGAAATCTAAGAAAATGATCCAAAAAATCAGTTTAAACAGGCTCAAATAATCTACTTACTTACCTTCATTTCTCTTCCTTAATAATGACTAGGGGATTGAACCCAAGACCTCAGTGCACATTATTAGACAGGGGGTCTACTAAGCCACATCCATAGCTCCTGCTCCCCCTCTTCCCCCTCTTCCTCTTCTTCCTCCCTCCTTCCTTCCTTCTTTCTTTTTCTTCCTTCCTTCCTTTCATTCTTCCTTTCCCTTCCCCACCTCCCCCACCCTCCTCTTCTTTCTCCTTCCTTTTCTTTCTTTCTTTTTTTCTTTTTTGTCTTCTCTCCACCTCCTCTTCTTCCTCCTTCTTTGCATGTATGCTTACATGTGTGGAGATATGCTTGTATGGTGTGCAGGTGTACATGTGCACATGCATGTTGAGACTGACATTGGGAGTCTTCCTCAATCACTTCTTCACTGGATTCATTGAGGCAAGATCTCCCCACTGAGATCAGAGTTCATCAATACGACTAGTGTAGCTAACCGTTTACTCTGTCCCAGGTCCCTGCCTTCTAAGAATTAGAATCACAGGCACGCCATACCCACCTGGCATTTATGTGGTTCTAAGGATCCAAACTTAGATTCTCAGGCTTACACAGCAACATTTTACCTTCAGAGTCACCTCCCCACCCCACCCCAAACCCACATTTACCTTTTAACCTGAAAGAGTCACGCATATCCTTTACTACTTTTGAAAAGTCTTCCAATTGTACTTTGTCACCTTTTGTGAGGAAAAAAATAGTTTATTAGATTACCTTCACTAAACAAAAGTCGGAGCCAATGAAGCAATCTATAAAACTGCAACCATCTGGCATACATTCAAGAATCATGTTTTTTTAATAACAGGTTGATTTACAGAGTGAGTAAAAAGGTTACAGAATTTAAACTGAGTTCTCAGTTTCCATCAATTAAGAGAAACCATACAGTCCACAGTCTTATAAAATGTAGCTGGAGTCCTAAATGAAAAGAGGAGATAGATCTCAGTCTTAGTTTAGGCTTTGCCTGAAGAAGAAAATTCTGTGGCAGACATACTGAAAGGTTCTTTGACTATAAAGTCTAACAAATACCGATACCCCTTCATATTTAAGCAAGAGAATGTAACTATCAGATTACAAGTCAAGAGACAAATATGAAGAAGAACTTTGCTTCCTACCCACCATCATAGAAACTTAGTTAGAGATTTAGAATTTTATAGATGATGACCACAAGCCAGAACGAAGCATGGCATCGAGCACTGCACATCCCCACACCATCGATACCCTGCTTTACAGGTTTCAATAGATAGCTACAAACACGTTGTCTTGCCTCTTATCCAGCACATGTTGTCTAAAATAGCACTTGATTACCAGGAACTATATAATAGGATTACATCCCAATACTGCAGTACAGTTCCCTGTTTCTCATAGACATATCCAGAATCCTACCTAGACTAACCACAAAGACTGTCTCTAAGTCTGTCAGCCATCCTAACATAATAATAAAATGTTACCACAAAATGTGAACAGATAATCTTTTTTTTTTAGACAGGGTCTTGCTAGGTAACATATGCTAGTTTGAACTCGCTATATAACCTTGGCTGGCCTTCTAAATCTTCCTTCTTCAACCATCCAAATATGCTGGGATGACATGCACGAGCCATGACATACCCTGCCTCAAATAGATCTCAAATTTCCCCATCTCCTGGCCTGTTCTCACTGGTAAAACACCACACAATTTGAAGGTCTTGAAATAAAATATAGAGACTGATGTTCCGTATGGAACAGCCCAATAATGTGAGCACCTTTTACAGTTCCTCAATCCATATCTTATCATTTTAACTGTTAGACGCACCACCTGGTTGAGATCTGAATCTGTAGGAGGCATGTAGGTCCTTGTCCTCACAGAGAGGCACTAGGGGAGCCCGGGATGCTAAGCACACGAGCTTGTTTCTTCAGGGGAAGGACTGCAATACCTGCTATCCAACCAGAAGGCTGGAGCAGATGTGCTTCCTAGCCTGGTGACACTTTGGTGGCACTGAACTCTTCCACAGACCCTATGGTAAGCATGTTTTCCTTAGTCAGTCTACAGAGCCTATCTTTATGGACTTTACCAAGTATCGATGTAGTCCTGTCTGATCTTTATTTAGCTTACTTTAATCCTTAAGGGGATTTATGTCTGCTTTGTTGTGCACACGGTATTAATTATTACCAAATTAGTTTTCACCAAATTGTGCTGTGCTTAGATATGCCTAAAATAAACTGCTCTGGGTCAGACACCAGAAGTTTGAACCAGCATTGACTACTGAGCCATGTTGGGCTGAACTGCCTACTTGCTTGCTGCTGATTGTCACTCTGCTGGCCATGAAGATTCCAGAGACCCCCACATGAGTCTACTGGAAAAAAAACCAGAGGGAATGCTCCAGGGCATCTAGTCTAGGCAGCATGTTCTTGGATGTAATCCAAAGCACAGCTAACCCAAGAAAAAAGTAGACAAATAGGCCTGCATCAAAATAAAAAGGATTGTCAGAGTGACATTAACCAGAGACAGACAGGCACACAGACAGACAGACAGACACACACACACACACACACACACACACACACACACCACATGTAAGAGCAGAGAGCTAGCAACCACTCACCCATGAATTGAGAGAAAAATTTCAAGTCATACATTGGATTAGAGATATATAAAATATATCTGAAATGTACAATGAACTCAAAATAGTTATTAACAAGAAAACATATTTTATATAGACATAGTTCTTGAATAGATATTTCCTCCCAAGAAAATATATAGGTATCTCACAGGTGTACCAAAAAGAATACTCTAGGCATGAGAAAAACACATGCTGAGCTCACAGTGAGATCCCATATCACATTTGTTTGCCTGATTGTCACTAAAGACGGACACTAAATTTTTGTCCTTGGATACCTCTTAATTTAATATTTGGAATACCCACCATCAATTGCTGCTAATTTCACTGCTTCTAAGAATTCTTCCTCTTCTAAATTACTATCCAAACTGGACAGTGTGTTCCACAGCTGAGAAATATCCATCTGGTCGCTGCCGAGATTTTGCAGGGTCTCAATAGCAGTGGGCAAGACTAAACCATGGACAAAAACACAAGTTTTACAATATATTTACCCAAGGTATTAATACTACAACTAACTCTTACTTGAAATAGTTGACCATTTTAGTTTGGGGATTAAGATAAATATCAAATATAGCACAAATCAATACTCAATTTCAAATATCAAAACAATAGAATATTTGTAATATAACTTAGAAGTTTCCGAACTATTTCAAAAACCATACAATGTCCTCACTCCTAGGTAATCACACACAAAAAATTCTGAGAATGTAGATCAGCAGAGCTGCTTCCCAGCATACTCAAGGGTCTTAGTATAGTCCCTAACACCAGGGTAATTTTCTTTGAATGTTAGATTTATAGAGGCCTGAATTCCCAAACATTTCAAAACTGTTAATGATTTCATTTTTAATTATATGTATATGGGTAAGCACCAGCATCCAGGAAGCTAAGACAGGAAAATCACCTGAACCCATGCTGGAGAGTTTTAAGACCAGCTATGGAAACTTTGTTAAGACTTCATCTCAACAAACAAAACAATGTGATTAGTTAGATAGATGCGGAGAGGAGGGGCCTGGCACTGTGGCCAAAGAGAGGGAATGGGTTAAGAACAACAGTTACCACTGGGTCTACACAACTGGGTGCTGAGCTGGAGGATGCTGGGGAGCACCAAAGGACAAGAATGAGAAAGACATGTGAACTGTGTGTGTGCTCGTGGGATGGTGTGATGTGGAACATGAAAGCACCAGCTTTGTCTGATCACAGTGCTAGTGTGTGTCGAATGTGTGGCAGTAAGCAGGCCTCACATAGGGAAAGCCCTGTGCCTTGGTTTTCTCTTCTGAAAACATACTGTTAATATGGGAATCCATGGGGTAATGGTATGCTATAAATAAACTCTATGTATGAGTAACAATAATGCAGTAATTATAATTGCTATGATGTCATACACTAAAGTCTTAGTCATAACTGAAATGTTTACAAATAACTGAAAATTAGGACTAAAAGAACCTTTATTACTTTGGGTTGTTATTTGTTTGTTTGTTTGTGACAAGGTCTCATTATATAGCCCTGGATGTCTTGATACCATGTAGAGCAGGCTGGCCTTAAATTTACAGATATCCACTTGCCTCTACCTCCCAAATGCTGGAATTAAAGGTATGTGTCACCATGCCCAGTCCTTTAATACTTTTTTTCCAGGATTTTAAATGAAAAGATTGAACTCTACCTAAAAACTAGACTAGGGAAGTTTTTTTACTAATCATCTGAAGCCCAAGATTACCATCTGTTAGGATCAGACATTTACCACCAGAGTGGTGTCATCCACCGTCCTTATGAGAAAATGATCAGTTGAATCCTGGCTTCACTTATTACATAAAACAATTTCTAGTATTTATATATGAAAAGAAAACTAGAAACATTTAGGAGACACTGGGAAATACTTTAACAAGATCAAAGCTGGAATAATCTAGTGTCTATGCGAAGGCAGAGCCAGTAGCTAACCCTGAGAGAGGTAGAAGCTGGGATAGGACTGGATGCTGGAGAGAACATAGATTTTAAACTGCTGTTTCAGAGAGTGAGGAGTAAGCTGGTTGTAATCGGACTCAGAAAAGCCAGGAGTTTTACTTCAACAGCTCCAGTGAGCTACAGAAAGGCTAGAGAGTTTAGGATATTGTGTAAACATATATCAGACAATTTAAGTCAGATAAGAAAAGTAAAATTGAGTGGAGACCGATCCAGAGAATGGGGGTAAATGGATTGAAGTCACAATCTAAGGACTGTAGAACCACTAAGAAGATAGGCCCTGAACAATCTGGTGAAAAGGGAAAAGAAGTAACCTAAAAATATAATTACAAAGAAAATATAACTAAACATGTGAATGAAGAATATACCACATGATTGTGCCAAGAAAAATTTAACTTCCATGATGGTAAAACTCCTAAGAAAAAAGAAAGTAACTAGATAATACAAATAATTTCTTCATCTTTCCCCACTCTGCAACATAATATAAAGAAAACTCTATTTATAAAGTAAATAGAACGCTTAATTAAAATCCACTACCATTCAACGTGTAAGCATCAAGTAACATAACTCTAGTTTGGCCACAGTGTTTAAGGTACTGTCACTCCATTAAGAGCAGGTGTTTATGGGACTGGAGAGATGGCTTATCAGATAAGAGCATGTACTGCTCTTTGAGAGGACCTGCGTTCAGTTTCCAACACTCTTGTCAGCAGCTCACAACTCCTTGTGACTATAGCTCCAAGGGATCCAAAACCTGCTTCTGGCCTCCACAGGAAACCACCCTCATGTGCACACACTCAACCTTCACCCCAGATGCAAACGTAGACAGAATCAAATATTGTTAAATGGGTGGTTATAATGGTTATTGTTCTCTGTGTTGAGCTTCACAGTGCCAAATACTAGTTGATATTAGTTTACTGACAGTTTAGCATACATGTTAGGATTCTTGGATGTCATTCAGTAGGTTGGAAGATTGAAAACAATACTTGTAAACAGCTGAAACCATAAGCTCAGTATATTAGTGTTCCGAGTTTTAATAGCATCACTTTCTCACAGTGACAAGACATTTTGAATCTTCCCCACTTGGGTGGTTCTGTCTACAGTAAGTATGGGGGTCAAAGTAAGACTATGATAGCTCTCAGTTCGCTTGTATGTAGAAGTTAACCTAGAATTAGGGCTCAGTATTGAAAAGATTTCAGCTGAAGTTGGCAGCACAAAGTTAGGCATTCATTGCCTGATGATGGCTCAAGACGACTAGCTCTTCCAGTATCTTATAAAAGTCTGTTATCCTCTAAAATCTTTCAGACTATTTGGTCCACAAAAGGCACAAGGTGTCAGTAACATTCATACATACGTAAATCATCAGAGAAGGGGTGTGTGTTTTTCAGCATGGTATCAATAAACTCTTTAATATTCACTTGTTTTGTCCCTAAAAGAAAGAAAAACATTTCCTTTAATATTGTCAAGGATTAAGTTATTATGACAAATACCGAATTACGTAAAGACAAAATTATATATACCATATAATACTAAGCACTAAAATATGTTTAGAAATCAGTTTAGAATCAAAAATCAAACACAGAAGGAAGTTGTTCAAAGTAGTACACAGTATTTTAACTTTAAATATATGTTACCTGAAATCTCACTATATCCATGACATGAGGACATGTCAGGAAGTTCTTTATCTTGACCGCTATAAGTTTCTCATTTCCTCTACCACTTTCACATACACTATTATAAATATACTACTTTTTGAGAAAAGTAAGCCTACACATGCATTGCTCTACACACGTCGTCTGGGGTGTTTTAACTATTCTTGGATTTTGGTCATTCATAAACATATCAGAATTGGCTCATAAAATCCTGAATTTTGTTAGCATTTCTTTAGACAAACAAATTACAGAAATAACAGTCTTAGTCTAATGGCCATTGTACCCTTAACATTCCCAGATCTCAGCTCATCCCAGAAGCTAAATAGCACTGGATAGAAGAACTGACTGCTTTCAGTCTTGGAACATATTAACATAAGACATGTTCCCATCCAGATCACCCTTAATATACTTTTTGTAATGGATATTTTAAATGGATTGTTAATGAATATTTAACAAAAGATTTTTAATGGAGATTGGAAAAATATCATATTTCCTCTAGACAAGTTTTACACAAATTATATTCTCCTACTTCTTTTTTTATTATGAAGGTTTTAAATACATATATAACTTAGAATTTTGTAATAATGCTCATGAAGTATCCTTGAAATCAGTAATTATTAACCCGGTCAATCTTCCATGTAGAACCCCACTTGCTTGAGAATCCCAGCTCCGTCTCTTCCTTAAGGAATCTCCTTGCTCAGTTACTTGGGCACTGGTACCTCCAAATGGGAAGCCTGTACTGTGAGCCAAGGGCTTTGATACAAGGGAGACACCTTTGCCCTTTCAGCGTCTTGTGTTTTGACTTCTGCCTTGTCAGACAGCAAGCCCAAAACTTTGCTTTTTTTTTCACTGCAGTTTTATCTCAGGAAAGTATCTGAAAAGACTAGGAACACTGGCTATTTCTAGGTGATAGAATTTTGAGCACTGAACTATACTTATGAACATTCCTGATTGACTCGATACTTTTTCTAACAAAAGGGGTAAAGTCATGATTGTGAGAATAGTTTCCATATTATCATTTACCTACCGTCAACTTGAAGTAATTCTTTGATCTTCTGTCGTTCTGACTTAGGAAGGTAAACTCCAAAATTTTGAAGACACGTGTCCAGATCCTCGTAATCAACATATTCATCCTGAATTTTACTAATGCCTTCAATGACATTGTTCAATGCTGAAAATAAACCAAGTTGTTCATTTTAGAATTAAGCAGACATTAAACAAAAGCACAAGTATTAAGATGAATGTTAGGCCCAACATTAAACAAAAATATAAATCACTTTAGATGTGTTGGATGCTGACTGCATAATCGTAAAGCTTTAAGAGATTTATGTTTGTTCAACTTTTGTTGTTTGAGGGTCTCATGTAGTCCAGGCTGGCCTCAAACTTCTTTTGTACCCAAGGATAGGATAACCTTCAACTTCTGATGTTCAACCACCATGCATGCTTTTTGTAGTGCTGGGGATTGAACCCAGAGACATGTACATGCTAGGCAAACACTCTACGGACTGAGCTATATCTCCAGCCTCAAACTTTTCAGTGCTAAAAATCTGTAAGTATTAGAGGCAGTCAAAAATATTCTACTTTGCTATGTCATTTATACAAAGAAGTGCCAACTTTATCATATTGACAACATCACTACTGAAAGCTTTTAGAAGCAAAAATCCCACTTAATTGAACAAGTTTAAATTCCATAATGGTTTATTTCATATTAGAAAAAACACAAGCAGAAAATCTTCAGTCCTTACTGATAATTGAGATAGTGCTTATAGGAGTGTGTAGTTTGGTCCATGGCAAATTCATTATTTTAATCTTCTGTAATAATAAATATGATTACTTAGAAATAATTATTCTACACCTCTTGGAATCAATACTTTATTATTTTGGTCAGTGATTCCTTCATTATATTTAGATTGCTAAATTTGTGCTTCCGTGAAAGCATTCCTTTTTTTCTTTCTTTCTTCTTTTCTTCTTTGAGACATGGTCACATTATGCAGTTCTGGCTGTTCTTGATCTCACTGTGTAGACCAAGCTGGCCTTGAATTCACAGAGGTCTGCATGCCTGTGCTTCCCAAGCGCTGGGATTAAAAGTGTGCACAACTATGCCAGGCTTTGAAAGCATTCTTAAAAGAAATTATTCCAAAATATATAGGTTTTTGTGCCTGCCTCCCCTCTCCATGCTTGGATTTCATCTAGCTTGAGCTTGCAACGGGCCTTGCGTCTGCTGTCTCCAGTGCTCTGAGTCCATATGTGCTGTCTCTCTGCTGTGTCCAGAAAACACACGCCTGTGGGCATAAACCACCTCTGGCTCTTGATTTCTTTCTATCCCCTGTCTCTGAGCTGTGGGAAGAGGGGAGATGATAAGGATGCTCCACTTTGTGCTGAGCATTCCAGACTCTCATTCTCTGCACCTCTCTTGACTAAGAAACTACTGGCAACTGATAGACGCTGAGAAAGGGAGTGTCCATTTTCTTTAAGAGTGGGCTTAGCAGCTGGGCATGGTGGTGCATGTGTCTTCAGTCCCAGCACTTGGGAGGCAGAAGCAGGCATATCTTTGAGTTCGAGGCCAGCCTGGTCTATATAGTAAGTTCCAGGAAGTCAGGGCTACACAGAGAGATCTTGTTGGGGGGAAAAAGAAAGGAAGGAAGGAAGGAAGGAAGGAAGGAAGGAAGGAAGGAAGGAAGGAAGGAAAAAAGAAAGAAAAGAAAAGTTGACTGAGTACACTCCTGTGGAAGACCACATATCCAAGAATATGTGGCAGTATCAACTATATTTGGTGAGTATTTTTTAGAAGTAGACACAAAGTTGGGTGAGTAGGAGAGCAGGTAAATCTGGGAGGAATAAGAGGAGGGGCAAATGTGATCCAAATACAATGTATTAAATTCTCAAGAATCTAACAAAACTGAGGGAAAGATAATTCGAAAATCAAGCAAATAATACTGTGTATGTGTGTGTATATACATATGCATGAATAATTTTTCAAGAGGCTGATATACTAGATGGCAATCAGCACAGAGAACAGCTGGTCAAGATGCAGAGAACGTTGAGCTCTAAATAGAACGTGTATACCATATGCCCTCCTCCCTAGGCTCAGGGATCACTGTGAAAGAAGGCAAGGAAAGAGTTTAAGAGCCAGAAACAGTGGCTGACTACAGAAAACAGTACCTTCTGGACGCAACTGGGCAGCTGCAGATATGAACTCATGGCAGCTGCAGCAGCACACATAAAAGCTGTGCAAGCCCAAGCCAGACCAAACCCCAGCATAGAGACAGAAGCTGGACACACAATCCCACCTCTAGCCATGCAGCTATTGACAAAATGCGAGCTTCTGGGAGAAGGTGACACTGTGTTCTCTAAGAGTACAGTTCCTAATGAGGTGATTGTGCTCCAGTAGAATACCACACATCCAAGAATATTTGGCCAACACAAATTGGTCTTGAAGGGTATTTTTTTTTAAGGACACAAAAGTCGGTGGGTAGTGAAGTGGGCTGGATCTGAGAAGAGTTGGTGAGAGATGAGAATAATCAAAACACATTGTATGAAACGCTGAAAGAGCTAATAAAATTTAAATTTTTAAATAGAACAAGATCATAAATCCTTTGAAGAATAAATGAGATAGAAAGAATCTCACACAGGTACACTGGGAAAAATTAAACAGGTTCTCTCCAATATAAGAGTCAGAGAAAGTACTTTATTTCATAATTTACTTTTTAAAAAAAAAAAAACCACTTGTGTACATAGGATAAGGTCAAGCAAACAACCACAAAACAAAAGTAGCACTGGATTGTGGTGACGATTGCACAATTCTCTAAATTTACTTAAAGATCAATGAGTGGGCCACTATTATGTAAGTAAATTATAGCCTAAAAAGAGCATCACAAAATGTCCTGAAACAAAAGCAAATTACATCAGTATTTCATTCAGACAAGTTCCTCACAAATACTTGAAAATCAATTCCAAACCAATGAGGCCAATTACCCATTGGTTCTCCTTGCTGTCGCTTGGATTACTGGATCTCTGTGTAGCACTTTCTGGGTCTATAAAATCCAGATACCAGCTTAAGGAGATGAGTAAGTTAGCTCTGACATCCTGAGATAGCAAGTTCTTACACGCTGGCGTTGAGCTGCCTAAGAATCCCAGCAGCAGTAAGTGTCTATCCCAGAAGCAGCGAGTGTCTATCCCAAATCAAGTCCAGCTTTTTGTTTCATTTCATCTTAGCTTTGTTTCATCTGTGCTCTGTTTTGTTTGTTTGGAGACAAGCTTTGTAGCTCAGCCTGGAATCCTCCATTCTCCTGCCTCAGCCTTCCAAGTGTGGGAACTACAGAGGCATGCTCCACCACGCCCACATAAGCAACTTCTCTACGTTCTATTTGATCTTTTTCTTTTCAACCTATTTGCTTTTCCTCCAACTCAGTTTAAACAAAATTGTCTACCTACCATCATAGTCAAGGAAATTGTGCTCCTTGGAGACCGCCATAAGAAAGTCATCTAAATTCACCATTCCAGTGTCTGTAAAATAAAGAATTTTCAGTTACACGATCTGGTATACTTTACATTGAAAATACGTTTTCATTTTTATTTAATTAAGAGAAAAACTTACTTGATTCTTAATTTCCCAATCCTATTTTGCCTTCCTATACTCCTCCTAAAATAAGTTTTTCTGAAGTAGGTCATTTTATATTATTTTTCCCCTTTTGATATTTTTGAGATCATAGTTTAATTACAACATTTCTCCCTTCCCTTTAGTCCCTCCAAATCTTCTCGTGTACTCCTCCCTGCTCTCCTTCAAGTTCATGGTCTCTTTTGTTTACTAATTGTTGTTGCATGCATATATATATATATATGCATAATGTATGCATATATAATAGGTGTATACAGATATATGTATAAATACATAGTTTAATAAGGCCAATATATAATAATTATATATGTATATATGTCATTTTAACAACCACTGGGGAGATATTAGTACCATAAACTATATTAGTCACCAAGGACACAAAAAAAAGTAAAACACAGTCTTTATTTTTTTAATAGCTACATGCGAAGGTATGAGTTGGATGCTAAGATTTGACAGATACAGGGGAAAAATAATCCACATCAGTGGACCAAGGCAGTTGGGGAATCAATTTCAAGTCAAGGTGAAAGGTGAGTCAACACAGCATCCATTAAGACATTGTGAGAGCGGGAAGCATCCTCGATCATGTATTACACAACACTCCTGGGATTCAGAGGTCCAGGTCACTAGAACGTTTTAGATAGAATCCCTCCAACAGCAATCACTCAACCCTGATAAGCAGCAGAGATGGCTCAACAGCTTTACTAGCATCCACTCCTTAGATATTTTGAAATTAAATTTTCTTCTGACTTGCATTAGCTGAGAAACCACGCCCAGACCCTGAAAATTCACTTTTAATGTTACTTTATTCACAAGTCACTTTTTTCAAAGAAAAAGTTCCTTCTTTTCTCTCCCTAGATGAGCTTCCACAGTGGATAATCCTTAGTGACTGATAAAGACAACTTTCTTTTTTAAAAAAAAATCTAACTTTTATTGGATATTCTACTTATTTACATTTCGGATGTTATCTCCTTTCCCCATCCTCCACCCCAGGAACTTTCTAATACAAAAGAAGAAAAACCTAATGGGTCTAACTACTGCCTTAGTCACTACCTGCAAGTCCCTCCTATGCACAGAATCTTCAGTTACTTCTTAAGTTCAAGCTACTTGAGTAGAGATTTTTATAGTCCTTGTTTTACTCCCTGACCTCTCCAGCAGGCTTGCCACCTACACCCACTCTAGAAGACACAAGCAGGACAACAGCAAGGAGTTATCAGAAGTAAGGCCAGCAACTCAGATTTCACAAGGATTTTCGTCTTAACATTCTCCCCTTTTATGCTTCTTTTTTGTCCTGAGTGTGTGTAGTGTGTAGGTGGTGTGGTGATGTACATGGATAGTCACAAACATGTGTGTGATGCACCAGTGTGGGTGTGTGATCACACAGTACCATGCCTGCTCAGCTTTTATGGGGCTAGAGGGATCTAACTCTGGTCCTCGAAGTTGATCAGTGAGAGCTTTATCTGCTGAGCCATCTTCTCAAGTCCAGTATTTGTTTTTTCTTAATCTTTGGACTGGTCCATTCTTTCCCACTCCTCAAGTAAGATAAATTCCCCCATAGCCCACCCTCACCCCAGATTCTTACTTCCCTGAAAATATTTAACTTTCTCAAAAGTTTCAAGGTAGCAAGTTCTCACCAGTTTGAGTGAGCTCTGGCACAATCTTCTGGAAGTCTTCATCTGATAAAGCAATTCCTACCGAGGGTAAAGCAGACTGAAGTGCCTCTGGAGAAATGTAATCTTCTAGGAGTTTAGTGAGAGCTTCATAGACATTTTCTAAATGCAAAGAATGTAGGATGGTTATATGTTTCTAAAGCAATAATGATTGCCAAAACTGTTTTGTTGTTTTTATTTTATACATTTTAGATAAAATCTCATGTGCATCTTAGACTGACTAACACCCTCTACATAGCCAGGCTGGCCTTGAACTGACACACCTACCTCAACCTCTTAAGTTACAAGTATGAACATCATGCACAGCTGGTACCTAAAATCTTGAATAATTTGATAAGTTTCATCTACTGATCACCTTGCAGAAGGGTTTGCTTTTTCTGTTATCTTATATTTTTTTCTTTTAGATCACACATAAGACTGTTAAAATTTTACAAATTCCTATGTGGAGAAGCAACCTGTTCCAATAGCCCAGGCTGCTTGCTTCAAACATAGTTTAGGTGTCCAAGACATCAAAGCATCAATGTATTTTGTTTAAATTCCAGAACTCCACTCACATTTTTAAGAGTTCTTTCCCCTTCCATAAACTGGCCCTGCTATGCTGAGTGCATACTTCCACATAATAAACTCCTATGGGCATGTATGCATGGACGATATCACTTCTATGACATTCAGGTAGGAAATATATAACCTGAATTTATGCATAAATAAAATATAAATTATTGTATTGTCACTACTCTTCTAGTGTCAAGGTCATGAAAGACTGACAAGGCATTCTAGAATGAGAAACAAAGGTGATTTGGCCACTAAATGCAATGTGTAATCCTGGATCAGTTTGTGATCAGAAAAAGGATGTTCCTGAGACAATTGATAGTATTTGAATAAGGTCAAAAGCCAATAAGAATTGTTATATCAAGGCTAATTTCATTATTTAGATCATTGTGCCATAAATATATAAGATATTAACACATAGGGAAAACAGGTGAAGAATATTTGGGAATAGTTATACTATATTTATAACTGTTGTGAATGTAATGTCAGTTTTAAATAAACGGTTAGTTTTTTTAAATTTAATCATGGAGGCAGTCACATGTCATAGAGTTCCCGATACCATCGATATTTTTAAGAAAGTTATTTATACCAAATGAATGATTTCATTCCTTCTTACATACAGAACATCATATGGAAGTGGTAGGTGACATCATTTGATTTAATAAAGCCAAGTAGACAGACATTGGCTTGTGAAGGCCTCTTCTATCCACTGACTAAATGTTTGCTACTCTGTTACTCTGTAAACCTGGGACTTTAATTCTTACTGAACACACAGAAACAGCTGCAGAGAGTAGTAGAGGGATCACAATAAATAACCCTAGTCTTCCTTAAGGATCATAATTCTTTTTTCAACTAAGTGATTGAGTTACATGTTAGTGTATGTATCATTTCTTTTTCAGTGATCCTTATTTTAACTCCTGCATTAAATGCTGTGTGTTTTTAAAGTCTTTTTTTAAGAGAAAAGACATGACGAAGTAACTTTAACAGACTATAGCAAGTGCATAATTAAGTTCCATTCAAGGTACTTCTATGATGAAAGTAGAATAAGAAAAGGAAATAATTAATTATCCCTGATGAGAGCCTTAGGTGTAAGATACCTAAGAAGTATAATATTAATCATTCTTTTATATATATATATATTTTTTTTTCATCCATAAAAAATAATACCTGCCGAACCAGGAATATCTTCACATATTTGAATTGTAGGACTCTAAACAAAAATTTCACCAATTTCTTACATATTCTAATAAATTACAAAAAAAGCTTACCAAAGAAAAATGTACCTATTTTTCTTTTCTCTCTCTCTCTCTCTCTCTCTCTCTCTCTCTCTCTCTCTCTCTCTCTCTCTGTGTGTGTGTGTGTGTGTGTGTGTGTGTGTGTGTGTGTGTGTGTGTAAGTGTGCATGAGGTGAGGTATTGTATATGGACCTGTGTGCCTGTGAATGTGGAGATTAAAGGTCAACCTTGGAGCTTGTTCCTCACATGCTGTAGGCCATGGTTTTTGAAACAGGGTATTTAACTGGCATAGAGATCTTTATTTAGGCTAAGCTGTCTAGCCAGCAAGCTCTAAAGATCCATCTGTCTCCACCTTTCCCAGGAATTATCATCAAAATCACAAAATCACATGTACTGGTCTGCATATCAAGGTAGTGGTTACACAGGCTGACAGCTGAACAATTCAGGGAAAATGCTCAAGTATTGAGTGAACAGCTCATGCCACGTGTTTCTGCACTCGGGAACCTAATTCCTAACTTAGGCATGTGGTACTGACCCAAGGCACTGACTGTAGATTCTTTCTTAGCAACATGCTGTAGAGTGCTGGACAGCCTCTTCAGGGCCAGCTTCTGACGATCTGAGATGATAGAAGTATCGCTTATATGCAGTAGCTTATTACGATCTGAGATAATAGAAGTATCACTTTTATCCAGTAATTTATTACGATCTGAGATGACAGAAGACTCTCTTTTATCCAGTAACTTAATACGATCTGAGATAGAAGAATCTCTTTTATCCAGTAACTTAATACGATCTGAGATAGAAGAATCTCTTTTATCCAGTATCTTAATATGATCTGAGATAGAAGAATCTCTTTTATCTAGTAACTTAATACGATCT